TCTCTATATGCGATCACTTGCACGAATGGTAAACTGCCAAACTTACTTGCTCTTCAGTCTTTATAATAAGGATTTTTTGTTTAAAAAATTTAAATTTATGAAATATAAACGGTATAAAAAAAAATTCAAGAACGTACAAGCTTCACCAAACATGATGAAACGATGTCGTTTTCTGTTATGTTTCTGAGGACAGCAAATCCTTTCCCTTCCGACGCAAACGAGGCTCCCCTCATTGAACTCAAATGCACCTTCACCGTTCTCAACGTTTCATCCAACCTTTCTCAACTCCGAGAAGACCGTTTTCTTCTTCTTCTTCTCTCAATTGGAGAACCCAAATCAAGCAAAGCTGTCTTGTTTCCCAAATCTCATCTATCCTCTTACAGAGGCACAGTTGGGACGTACTTCTCCGAAACCTCAATCTCTCCCTCAAACTCACACCTCCCCTCTTCTTCCAGATCCTCCGAAAGACCCAATCCAACCCCGAAATCTCTCTAAATTTCTTCAATTGGGTAAGAACCCATCTGGGCTTCGAACCAGATCTCAAATCACAATGTCATGTCATCCGAATTGCGCTCCAATCGGGTATTTCCCAACCTGTAAAACCCATTTTAGAATCTCTGGTTCAGACCCATCCTGCTTCAGTAGTTGCAGAGTCTATGATTCGAGCATGCGAAGGTAAAGATTCTCAATCAGGTGCTTTGAGCTTGGTTCTTGAATGTTATTCCTCTAAGGGTTTCTTTAAGGAGGGTTTAGAGGTGTTTAGGAGAATGAGGATTCAGGGGGTCACTCCTTCATTAAGGGCTTGTAATGCGCTACTTGATGCTTTGCAGCGAGAGAATGAGATTGCTTTGGCTTGGTGTTTTTATGGTGCTGTAGTTCGAGTTGGGGTTGCCCCAAATCAGCTTACTTGGTCATCGGTAGCTCAAATTCACTGTAAAAATGGGAAATTTGAGAGACTTGTTGGATTCTTGGATATGGGTGTTTATAATTCTATGATTTATAATCTTGTTATTGATGGTTATAGCAAAAATGGGGATTTTGGAGCTGCATTTGATAGATTGAATGAGATGTGTGAGAGAAAAATTAATCCTAGTTTTCGTACCTATAGCTCAATACTTGATGGTGCATGTAGATACAAAGATTCAGAAGCAATTGAGAGGATAATGGGCATGATGAAGTGTCATTTATCTGAAAATAATTTGATCATTCAAAAGCTTTCTGATTTGGGGAAGACTTATGCAGCAGAAATGTTTTTCAAGAGGGCTTGTGATGAGAAGATTGAACTAAGGGATGGTACTTACGGATGTATGTTAAGGGCATTATCTAAGGAAGGAAGAATAGATGAGGCGATTCAGATATATTGGGTGATTATGGAAAGGGGAATTAGGGTAAGTGATAGTTGTTATTATGGATTTGTAAATCTTCTCTGTAAGAAAGAGCGGTCTGAGGCATATGAACTGTTGAGAGACATTATAGGAAAAGGACATTGCCCCCCTGCATCTGAATTGTCTACTTACATAACATTACAATGCAGGAAAAGGAGATGGAGGGGGGCAGAGGAGCTGTTGAATTTAATTCTGGATACAGGGTCACTACCCAATTCACTTTGTTGTGGCTCATTGATGAAGCACTACTGCTCTACTAGACAGATTGATATAGCTTTTACATTACATGATAAGATAGAGAAACTAAAGGGCAGTTTGGATGTAGCAGCATATAACATACTTCTTGATGGTCTCTGGAAAGAAGGGAAGTCTGAAGAAGCAGTCAGAGTATTCAATTACATGAAAGGAATTAATACAGTAAGCAGTGCAAGTTTTGTGTCCATGATCAGTGGACTTTGCCGCATAAAGCAATTGAGAAGAGCTATGAAAATTCATGATGAAATGTTGAAGATGGGGCTGAAGCCTGATAAAGCTTCATATAAGCGTTTGATTTCTGGTTTTAAGTAGTAATAATAATACCCTAACCTTTCTAGACTGCATACATGTTGGATCGTGCTGGAAGAAGAAGATTGTTCTTTCAGCTAGCTTTCATCTCATTGCATACTAATGTCATACCTTTGAGAACACTGGTTATGTTCCTTTTACCCATGTTAGAGGAAACAGGGATCTTATTGTTGTCTCATAGAAACAAAGTCTATATGGTCTATGGTTTGTTTTTTCGCTAGATTTTGTGATGGCTGCTTGCACTTGTCTTGGATGAGTGAATAAGAGGGTATGTTATAGCATTTCACAAATGGTTACAGAAATTGCTATTAACTCAAATGAACCCTAACTTTCTTCAAAGAAATGGCATCTCAAACCACATGCCACCCCGACGAACACACAGCACTCTGACTTCAATCTCTCAAAAAAAAAAAAAACAGGTGCTCCTTGTTTCTCAGCGTCGAGATCACAAATTCTAGGAATTGATTTGTCCCTAAACAATTAAAGTGATATAATGTATCCATAATTTAACACAAGAAAAACATCCTGAACTAAAAATTGAGGTGAAGAAGTTCACAGAAAGCAAAGTATTAATTAAAATTTGTAACATAAAGTAATGATTCTTGCAAACTAAAAGTGGCAACTTAAATCGATAATGCAAGAATGAACCCGGCCCAAGAGATTAATTACAGAGGGTCACGGCCCGGCCATTAATGGATAGTTTCAAGAACAAACCCGGCTCGAGGGGTAAAATTACAGATTTACACTCCATAGTTAACAGTCAACGGTCAACGGTCATCTCTTCTCCAACTCCAACTCCAACTCCAACTCCAACCCTAGAGGAAGACGGACTATTCTCATTCACACCGCTGACTCGAACCAAACCGAAAATGGCGATCTCTCCTAAAAATCTCCTGTATTTCCTCCTAGTTTTCCTCACCGTCGTATCCGCCTTTCTCTTAACCGCCAGATCGGAGTCGGAATCGGACCTCGTTGACGATCTTCTCTCGCTCCAGTCCCAGTCCAAATCGGGAGTCATCCATCTCGATGACCGCACCGTCTCTAAGTTCCTCACTTCCACGACAGCACCCCGCCCTTACTCCCTCCTCATGTTCTTTGATGCCACTCAGCTCCACGACAAGACCGAGCTCCACCTCAAGGAGCTTCGCCATGAGTTCGGCCTCCTTGCATCCTCCTTCATCGAAAACAACAACCGCTCCACCAAGCTCTTCTTCTGCGACATCGAGTTCCGGGAGTCGCAGTCCTCGTTTCACCTGTTCGGCGTCAACTCCCTTCCTCACATCCGTCTTGTCGGTCAAACGGCTAGATCTGTGAAAGATGACTCAGAGCCGATGGATCAGAGCGACTTCTCACGGATGGCTGAGTCCATGGCTGACTTCGTCGAGGCCAGAACTAAACTCACGGTTGGCCCGATCCATCGTCCTCCTATTCTTTCTAAGAGGCAGCTCACTCTGGTGGTCGCCGTGTTCATGATCTGGTTTCCGTTTGCGCTTAAGAAGATCTTCACCGGAGAGACCCTGCTGCACGATCCCAAGATCTGGCTTGCTGGAGCAGTATTTGTGTATTTCTTTAGTGTCTCCGGTGCCATGCATAATATAATCAGGAAGATGCCGATGTTTTTGGTGGACAGAAATGATCCTAACAAGCTGATTTTCTTCTACCAGGGGTCAGGGATGCAGCTCGGAGCCGAGGGATTTGCAATTGGATTTTTGTATACTGTGGTGGGATTGTTGTTAGCGTTTGTCACCCACATTCTAGTTCGGGTGAGGGATGCTACTGTGAAGCGTGTAGTAATGATTTTTGTGATGCTTGTTTCATTATGGGCGGTTAATAAGGTGATTTCTTTGGATAATTGGAAGACTGGCTATGGAGTTCATGGATACTTGCCTTCTAGTTGGTTTTAAAGCGTCATCAGCAGCATCTATGAGGTGATGAGTTATTTTCAATTGGAGACTTTAGAGGAGAATCGGTAGTGAATTTCTATGTTAAAGTTATAACTTTTATAGTAATTTGCATATGCCCATACAAAAAAACATTTGTTGCACAATGTGTTGGGCTGATGAAAGTTTTTTGTGTTAGTACTTGACTGATGCTGATTTTGCTTTATAATTCATGTGCTATAAGATTTTCATATGTTGATTTTATTGCTTTGCATTGAACCATCTGGTTCACAGTTCTTGTGCCATTTCACCTTTTATATTTTTCATTGACTCTTTATCTTCTCTCAGAAGGGATGCTTATCTTTCCCAAATTCTTGAAAAATTGAAATAGGAAATCCTAAAAAAATAGAGGATACCGCCATCTTCTTGTTGTGAATGTATGCATATGGTAATGTTATGTCCATTGGAGGAGGGACGCCTTATGGAAGTAATATAATTCTGTTGACTCTTCATTGCTTCTTTTGAACATTTTTTTTGCTTGGTACTCAGATTTGTATATTTGTAGTTCTGTGGATAATGATTTACATTTTAAGCAACACCCATGCATCTTAATCTAAGGAATCAAATAGAGCTCAAGCATAAGCTGAGGTGCAGATACTGGTTTATTGGGTTCACTGCATATAATGGCCTGTTTACTGGTTAATATGGATATTGTATGTTTATAGCTGCAATTGTGGAAACAAGAAGTTTCATGTAGGGATCACCTCCTTCATCTTCTGAGAAGGTTGAAAAAGTTCTCTGATGTTGTGCTAAATTCCTGAATGTATGCTGATGATTTCTGAGAGAATGCTATTGTGGCCTGTTTTTGAGACATTTTGTGGTTGAGGTTTGGAGCTTGTGATTCTGTTGATTCACACTTTTTGAGGATTTGGTTTCCAAAATTAAATTTTGAGTAAGTGTTGGCTCGGCATTTCATCTAGTTAGGAAGCTCAGCAATATCAACATGCTATAAATGAATCAATTTTAATATCTCATTAACTTGTCCCCCTATCCCGTCAATCTTCATATTTTCATCATTAACGCAAGATTGCTCCTGTAACAGATTGATATGGCGACATCTTGAATCAGGTCATGCATATCAAAGTGCATTAGCTATGATTATCAAGCAATAGAGAAGAGGCTTTGAGGTTACTTATCAATTTCTGTATATCTTGAGTTTCCTCAACTGTGTTGACTTTATGGAATAAACTTAAGTCCATAATGTCTCTTTCAGCAAGTCTTTAATGGAGATCTTGTGCCTCAGCAAACTACAGAACAAAAGAGTTTGCTTGAATTTCTCTTATTCTAAATGCGATTCAACTCTACAGCTGAATCAACAGTTTTAAATGTTTCTTTGAATCTTCTGAAGAAGGTCTTTTTAGTTTTTGCAGAGGATTCCTTCACTCATAAGGACTTCTTTCAAAGCCTTTGCTAGTGTTTCAATAGTGGGGTGCAATCTGCATATTACTTGGCAGTTTCAATTGTTCTAGGATGTAAATCACTACTTGTTTTCTGCTCTGTTCCAGGTATCATAAAAATTTAAGATTTTACCAAAAAGTTTTAGCTCTTAACTTCATAAAGCTTTGCAAAACCTTGCTTTGTTCAATGAGTTCCCCTCATTCTCTTACCAAGTTTCTCCAAAAATAACAAGAATTGGTTCTTGCTATTATTCCAGATAGAAGCTGTGAAAGGGAATGAGGAGATTAAAGTAGGAGGTTAAGAAGAATTGGCTGACTGATGACGACTAGTACACCAGTGGGTGTAGAGAAGCTTTGGTGATGTTTAAGAAGATTGCTAGTGATTGTACTTGGTGGAACTAGAAAATAGTGATCTGCAGCCTACAAAATTGATATTGCCAAGGAATGTGCAGATTTCCATCCCACTTTTTGATTGAACACTTGCAAAGGTTTTGAAGAGTTATATGAGTGAAAGGGATGATCAGGAAAGGTTGTTTTATAGTTTGCTGGGCACAACCTTTTCATTAAGGATTTGCTGAAATACCGTAAACTGTGAAGACTTGAGGTAGAAGCAGTGAGGGAAAGTACTGACATTTGCTAGACTTAAAACCGATTCTTTCTTGCTTGATGGTTGGAGCATGGTACACTTTGAAGCATGATTTGATTCGAGATGTTGACATGTTAATCGGATCTAGGAAGGAAATGTAACGTCCCTGTTAAAGAGAGGAAAATTTTGGTTAGATAGGTGGAAAACACACTTGAGTGACTCAGTGGGAGACGTTTTAGAGTTTCTTAAAAGTTAATGATTTTGATTTTCTTTGTGGTGCATCTTAGAATGAGTACTCCATAGTTTGTAGTTTTCTTTGGAGTAAAAATCTCAATTTGATACAATTAGGAGTAGCAAAAGTTTGAAATCACCTCATTTATAATCCTGAGTAATTAGAGAAGACAACTCAATCTGAATTAGTTTCTTTCTTGATGAAACTCTAATGAGTTGTTAAGCTGAACCCTTCTTGCAGTTTTGAAAAACACATACAGAACCTGCAGGTTTAGAAAAATAGGATATGTATTATGACTTTTTTATTTTTTTATACTGAAAAGATTAGTTACTCAATATTGTAAAGATTTAAACTTCTAATTTTAACCTAAAATCATAGTTTTAAAGTTAAAATGTACTAATTTGGTCAAACTCGGAATCTTTATTTTGATGCCACAAATATGGTCTAGTACTAGTCAGGAATTTCCAATATTATTTAAGTAGGAAAGATGATATATTCCCATGCTTTCGGCTCTTTACCCTGCAGGAAATGGTTCTTTTCTTCTTAGTGTATTTGGACGGCCAGAAAAAGTTTGGTTGGCTTTGCGTGCAAACGCAGCGGTGCTGATTCCCCACCATAGATTCATCCAATACCCCATATGCCCTTTCCTTTTTTCCGATTCTGTTGTGTCGTGGACCTACTGAATGAGGGAATTGTAGTCATCTAATTCTGTCTGAGGCTATCTTTTTCTTTCCAACATAGCCAACACCCACATGTTCTGCACTTTAAGTGCATTCATCTTCCCTATAATTTCATGGCCTAACAGGGAAAAAGAGAACCACAGGATTGCAGGAAGCAAAGGAGGAAATGGAAGAACAAGTTGATTTGGTAGGGAACACATTTGTGGATCATTACTACCATCTCTTCGACAATGATCGATCCTCCCTAGCTTCTCTCTACCAACCCTCCTCCATGCTAACCTTCGAGGGACAGAAGATACTCGGCGTTGATGATATATCCGCCAAGCTTAACCAGTTGCCATTTGATCAGTGCCGGCATATCATCAGCACCATTGATTCCCAGTCTTCCGCCGGTGGCATTGTGGTCTTTGTCAGTGGCAGCCTCCAACTACCTGAAGAGGAGCACCACTTAAGATTTAGCCAGGTTATTAATTTCCTCCACTCTTATATTTTTTTTCATTTTTCTTTTTATAAACGTAACTGATTTTGGAATGTTTTAATTGGGAATTGCAATCTGCAGATGTTTCACTTAATTCCAACGCTACAAGGAAGTTTCTTTGTGCAGAATGACATATTCCGCCTCAACTACGGTTGATTTTTTCTTGGTTTTTTCCACCAAGTATTTCCATTGTAACACTGTTTCATTAATTCTGAAATCTTGAATAAAGTACCGAAATTACCTCGCATACCATCCATTTGCTAATCTCTTTTTCTATATACAATGTTCCTCTTAACCATAGCAAAGGCTGATGGCTCTTAAAAAAAGTAGCTGTCCTACAAGGGAAATGCTAGCTACTCAGTCCCTGATTGATCCAAGTGCATTTTTTCCTTGAAACAATATATTAGACTAGACCAATCACAGCCCAGGTACTTGTCCACTTGATCATTTGTAAAGTGCAGAAAACACTCATCTTATTATGGAGGAGAATGAGCAATCACAGTATAAGAAAGTTAGTGGAGTTAATCAAGGAATTAGGAAGACAGCAAATCAAGCAAAATCAGTGCAGCAGGACAACGGCTATGCTATATCAGTCAAGTAATATTTACATTCCATATTTGTGTACATAATTATAGGCACTAGATATGTTTCTGCATTTGTATATATATCAGCTTCTTGTACAGAATGAATCAAGGGAATACAATTGAGTATTTTCCAATACACCATCCTCTTCTTCTTTACTTCTACATGGTATCAGAGCAGTACGATTCCTGCATCTGAATACTCATCTCTGTAATCTAATTTTCTGTGAGAAAGGAAAATCCCAGGTTTGTTCTTTATTTCCAACCAGATCATGGCCAAAGCCAAAACATCACTTACCATTCAAAATTTCCACCAAATGGCTAGTTTGGTGTCCATTAAACTATCTAGCACCAACTTTCTTTTGTGGAAATCTCAAATATATCCACTAATTCGAAGTGCTCAGCTTCTCCATCACCTTGAGGAGGAAGCTCCAGCAATGATTGTCATTAAGAATGACAAAGAGGTACCCAACCAAGACTATGAAGTCTGGTTAAACAACGATGGACTCCTTACCAGTTGGTTGCTTGGAACCATGAATGAAGATTCTCTAAGCCTGGTTGTTGGTTGTAACTCAACCTACCAGATTTGGAAGTGTCTCTAGGAGCATTATTTGGCGTCCACAAAAGAACAGGAGCTGTATCTAAAGGGACAATTGATTGTCAAGAAAGGTGATGACGAATCTCTTGAAGACTTCATCAGAAAATTCAAGAAAACATGTGACAATCTTGCAGCGATTCAAAAACCCCTTGATGATCTTGACAAAGTTTTTCAACTCTCCAAAGTTGTAGGGTCATGCTATCAACCCTACAATCTGGTTGTTCTCTCAAAGGCTCCGTATCCTACATTTAACCAATATATTGCAGGATTACAAAATTATGAACAGGATCTACAAGTCCAGAAACAAGAAAACAAAAATAAAGCTCTTGTTTTCAATCAGGTGTTTGTCGCTCAAAGAGGAAGAGGTCATCGTGACAAAGGTTATGGAGGTAGACATTTTAATTCCAGGGGAAGAGGATTTGTCCAAGCTGGTAAATACAATCGGTTCGGTAACCATAAAATCAATTAGTCAACAATAATCCTGCACCTCAGCAACACATGACGCAGAAGAGATTTCAGACCAAAAACATGACAACCCAAGGTGAAAACTCTTGCCAAATATGTGGAATTAATGGTCATACTGCCTTAAAGTGTTGGTACAGGTTTGATCATGCATATC